CAGCACAACCACTTACTGGTAAGCCAAGCTAACCTGTTGATACCATCCTTTAAAGCACTTTAATTAACCATGGAGACACTAAAGATGGATTTCCAAATACTCAAGCCAACATCAGTAATCTCTGAATCAAGCACTACTAGCATCTCCCTGGGGAGGAGTGGGAAAAATGCTGTTGTAAAGACTCTTAATGGCAAAGCTCTGCTAGCAATTACATCAAGAGACAATGAGCATTTGGCAAAAAAAGCCAAGGCAGCTTTTTTTGGGGCAGCTTAATGATGTAGTAGCCAAAGAGTTAAAGCAAAGCTGCAAAGTTGTGCAGAGCACTGAAACCTTCCTGTTGGGAGTTCCTTTCAGAAGGACTGGGAAAGGAACAGTATTAATAGCTATTGCTGGGCTGCACTTTCCCACAGGTCTGGACAGGATCTCCACAGCAGCTTTTGCCTTTCTGAAAGGAAGACCTGAAACGACTGCAGACATTGGAAACCTCTGGGCCTCACAAGGAGGAAACAGGAGGACCTGAAAGACAAACCAAGGGCTGTGCCAGGCATTATGACTGCCCACAGCTGAATGGCCACAGAGGAGAGGAAGGCAAGGGGAGGGGGTGAGCAGAGAGAGAAACAGTGAGGAAGAAGACGAGAAGAAGGCAGCAAGTGGGCAACAGCAGTGCTGATGTCAATGACAGGTAGCTATAACTTGGAGACCACTCAAACAAACCCACTTGTCCCCTGAGGAACCTGGAGAAACTTTCTGTCCCAGCAGGAAGCTTGCTGGTACAGGAAAGTATTAAAAAATCCAAGAACCCTCAAGCCAAACAAAATTCCCCTAAACAAATAAATAAAATGGCTTAAATTTGTTACACATCACCTCATTTTGCATAGCTGAGTCAAGGTTGCTGCTCTCAAAGAGTCTTAGCTCTGTGAGGCAAGCAAATGCAAACTGTGTCCTTTTTATCACTGCAGGTAGGAGGATTCTGACAAAAAATATAGAGACCTGCAAGCACAGAGAGACTGACTTTAATTTCTTCATGGTGACAGTTTCTTTGTCTTTGCTGCCACTTACATGCTTACCACTCCAGGTAATTTAATCCAAGTTGGAGCTGCAGACCTACAATGTAGCACAAGTTGCCAGGAGGAGCTTCAGTGTCAAACACCAACACATCCTACTCAGTTACAAGCAGCAGTCAAGATTCCAAGTCCCACCCCTGTCTCTACCATTGCTGTCACCTTGGGTATGAAGAACTATACTTAATACTGTTGGAAAGAGTTGGGAACTTTTTCCACAGTAGACACAGATACCTTTGGTTAACTTTTTATTCATTATAATTACTTATGATTACATTAATTTGGCCCAGTTTGCACTCTTCCTCTCAGACCTGAAGATTATTAAGTCCTATTTGTCATACCTGTGAAAAATTATGCATCTTGTACCTAAATATACCATTCTCAGCATGATTACATGATTACAAGAAACCCTTGGTGATGCAAAATTCCAAATAAACTGGAGTCAAAGTGAGAGCAGGCAGGATCAGAGAATTTTCTTTCATGAGCTTCTCAAAATAATGAGACCACTTGATTAAAGATTTTTAAAGCTCTGTTCCAGTATTAAATAATCTCCCCACATCTGCTGTCAAATCTTGCAAATGAATCTTTTCTCTAGCCAGAGGTTGTACTAAGCACCTTCTTCTGCTGAGAAACATAAAAACTACTGAGTCCTGATAAGAAGTAATTGGTGTCTAGGTCAGGTGATCACCTGAAAATAAGAGATTTTCCAAGTAATAAATGCTGCATCAGATCTGTGCATCCCTTTCCAGTATGCAAAACCATGTTAATTATCAACCATGGTTTCAAGCGTATCTTAAAAATTTTGGCTAAAACGTTCCATAAAAACAAGACCTTAGCAGACCACCAAGGAGGGCTTAATCAAGACAGGATTATTCAGTGGTAAAAACCATCTTGGGAGGGGCAGCAGGGAAAGAAAGGAGTTTGTCACAATCATTAAATGCAGACATATTTGTCCATGTTGATTTCTAAATGTAAAATGACTCCGAAAAATACAAAACCACATTTTTCTATTACTATTTTAAATATTTCTTACATTTGTCTTCAGGGAAGAGTTGTACATTGTATCACCATTACCTTCACTTTTGAGATTTGAGTGAAATCGCCTAAGGATATTTACTTTAAACAGTAAAATGCTGAGTGAAATAAAATGAAGTCACTGTAGTGATTGGGGGGACTTCTTTTTCTCTTTAATGTACAGAAGATACAGTCTTGCTTGGTATTGTGATGTCTATGAGTAAGCAATCATTCTACCCATTACTATTATGTTAACAACTGTAAACCACCTACAATTACTAGCATGATCCCTAACCTCTGAGAGGTGGTAATCCAGTATTGGTTGTTAGCTGTCAAATTTATTTCCCTTTGGTGAAATATACCCTGGATTTAATTACCAGTCATTCTTGATACTTTATGGAGTTGAGCTCAAGTACTGTGGCTCTGACATTTAACCCATGACCCTTAAATATTTACCAGCTTTACTGGTTGTGTACAATTATCCCTTCAAGTATATCTCAGATCCATCATTCTGCCCTTGACTTACTACTCCAGTCACTCTAAATCAGATACATCTTCTTCCTTCCAATGAAAGGGGAATGCATAGTTTCCACTCTAAGATATGAAAAAATCAAAAGATACATTTGTAAGGAATAGCATCTGCTAACTGCACTTTTACTGTGTTAGAGGATGCCTTGCATCAGAGGGACAATAAACTTCGCCCAGTGCAATGTTTATTAACAGAAGCATCAAACAAGATTTCTGTTACTGATTATGAGCTCAGTGTTCCTCTCCGGTAACAGGAGTGGAGTGCAGGGTGAAAAACAACGATTCTCTGACATGCTTAAATGATGACACTGAGCCCACACACGCTTTTCCATGAGGTCATGCTCCCATGGGTGAGAAGATGACAGTACCAGGGAGTAGCCTACTTCAAACAACACAAATAACTTCTCAGAATTAATGCTTCTTCAAATTGTAAAAAAACTCTTCATATGCTTTGCTTCTCTAGAAGAAGCAGCTGATGGCCCTAAAAGAGCCATCAATGCAGGAGGGAAAGGGTAACACGCATTCTCCAAGAGGCAAAATCTGCCTGCAAGGCTTCCAGGTCTGGAAGCAGGGTTTGAAGCAGATACCCAGGGCCTTTCCATGGCCATTGAAGCTTCTCAGTTCAGTGCAGAGCTAGGGAGAGAATTCAGATGAACAAAGTCTTGTGCAATGGCCTGGGTATGTTTTGCCTCCCTCAAAAGGCTATTGAGAGTTAGTACAAGATGATTTTAGCTGATAGGGATAGCGGGTTACTAGATAATCTAAAAACTTCCTTTGTTAGCAGCCAGCATAGTTTAAGATACACAAAATTTCCACTGCCAGTGTTGCTATAGACTAATATAAATGTAAAGAATATAGCAAAAAGCACAGAAAACACCAGTCAGCTATAAACAGTCCTTTTTAAAGTGCAACATGTGAAAGTGTTTGTGTATGTACATGCACATAATCAGCTTCTCAAGCAGAATCTGAGCCTGAAAATATTTACAATTACTCTTGATTTCACTCAGCATGGGTTGTCATCTTGAGGGGAATGCTCCCATGGCACAGCATTAAGCATATATGCAAGTCTTTGTAGTGGCAGAGCCACTGACACACATAAGGGGATTTGTAAGTAGTGTTCAGCTTTGGAATATTCCTCTAACACAGTTAATCAGCAACCTGGCTCACAATCGTGTAACCCAACCTCACTGCTTCCTCTCCAAAATCCAAGCCACTGCACAAAACACATATTAAGAGGTTTTCAAGTTAATTATTTATTTGTGTGTAGTTATCTTACTTCCAGAAGTGTGTAATTTGCACTCTATACAATATATTGTAAATGAGCATGATAGTCTAGCTACCTTTAAAAGTTACATATTCCTTCTATGCATTACCTCTGGAAAAAAAGCATTCTGAAATAATTTTTCTCTTATAAATAAATATATCAAGCTTACTTCTGACAGGTAAATGAAATGCCTCATGACCCTCAAACAAGCATACATACTTACCTCACATGCAAAGGAAAACAAAAAATGATTATTCAATAATTCCAGAATGTTCCAGAGAATTCAGACTCAGATATTCTCTGTTGAGAATGACTATTCATTCTCCCCTTCAGCTATTTCTAAAAACCACAATAAAGTTTAAAAAACTGTAGAGCAAGATGGCTCTTACCCTATTGAATTAGTATAACTTCTCTTCTTAATATATGGCTTCAGTGAATTCCACTGTATTTGAAAATGTGGTTTTAAGATGCAGAACAGAAATATTAGGACTCTTATCAGAGGTACCTTGTGTGTGTACTTTTACAGAAGTAATTTAAAGAATTGTTCAGGAATCTGTTCTTGGATGCAATAATTTGAGAAGTAGGAAACGACACGCTGGTATCACAGACATACCTATGGAACTGCAAATATTTATAGGCTCAAGTCTTTCAGTTGAATCAGACTTCCTGCAAATGCTAATGTAAGCCTCACTCCCAGAGCAAGGAGTCATAGGATGAAGACTCAGACAAAGGCATGAAAATGCTAGGAAAAAAATACTGCATTTCATTTTCCCAAGGAATTCCTTTCATTCATCTCAATGGTAGTTGGTCCAGTGAGATCAACAGAAAAAACCCAGGTCCTTCCAGAGTAGTGCAGGCTCAAGGAAATCTGCCCACTCTCTCTGTTCCCTGTAAGACAAGGCCATTATAATATCACTGAACTGTGCACTTCACAGCTTCAGAAAATATAAACAATTTTGGCCTCAATTCACACCGTTATCATTACATGAGCATTCACTACGAATGATGCTTCACATCTCTTGGAAAAACTAAAGTAAAAAAACCCAAACAACAAACCCTACATTTATTTCTTCTAGACTTCTCAAATTTTAACCAAAAATACTGCCTTCTCCTAAATTAAAAAAAAAAAAAAAACAAACAAAAAAAATCAAAACAAAAAAACCCAAAACCCACAAAACCAAAAAAAAACACTCAATTTGTACAGTGTGTGTCAATCCAATGAATTTTTATAAGCATGAGTTATAAAGCATTTAACAATGACCAAAAAAAGAGAAAAAAGGCAATTCAATCCTTATTACCAGCATCTAAATTTATTAGTGGGAAATTATATCTATAAGATTATTAACTGTGCCAGAGAGGAGAAGTAAGAAGTATACCAAAGTATATATATCACACTTTTATTACACTGAGCAAGTTAAAACCCAAGAGGATGACTAATGAATCTGTACTGGCATAGAACTGTCTAAAGACACAGCACTATGAGAAGCTGAATCTTAAAACATCTGACACATGTGATGTATCTAATTTTAAGAAAGAAGTCACATGCAATTTACATAATGATCAGAGAATTATAGAATCATTGAGACTGTAATGGCCCTCTGGACTCATTTAATCCCAACTGATCTAGTCATATTTTCTATACAGGCATTTTCATTACACCCTCCTTGCTTCTGGTTTATGTGTGTTCTCTTGAAACCACTCACTATGTGAATCCTCTGCCTGGCATTTCACACTTTGCAGGATAATTCACAATGTGTTTATGTCTTTCTGGAAGCCCAAGAGATACCTCAATTGCAAGAACACAGCCTCTGACAATGTACGCTGGTTTTTCTGCAGTTTCTGAATTCTGTATACAAGTTTACTTATGGAACCATTGATATTCAAAAACATATTCCAATGTTTCCTCCCTGCTCCCCTCTCCCCCCACCCAGTGTCGACACAGTCTACTTTATTATAGTAGAAGAAAGAATTATTGGCTACCATCTTACGCAAGGAAAGCTCCCAGAATACACGACCTTCCTTTGCCAAGATTGTAGGGGCTCTCAACATGCTACAGCACAGACATTTCAGAGGTAACACAGATGTTCAGTCAATAATCTCCATCTCCAGTATTCTTCTGCATCAGACTTGGGCAGCAATTTGATAACTTATGACGTATTTGCAGTGCCTAATTGACCCGCTGCTGAAAGTGCACACAAAAAGCAGGTCCCTTGTCAAAGGCAGCAGAAATTGCTATCAAGTTTGGTTATATGCTTTGGTTCCCTTACCCTTGCCTAAAAGACAGATAAAACACACTGATTCTGCAAAATGGTTTGCATTTCTACAGTAAGAGAGTATGTTAATAGATAGAACAAAAGTAATTCTCCAGGATATGACAGAAAGGTTTATAGAGTTAAAATATAAAGTTCCATGATGTCCCTAAATCCCCATAATCTATAGCTGTATGTTCAAACTTTAATTCTAGAAATGTAAATCATGTTTTCCCCTTTACAGCTGGAAGAAATTCTTGACTGAGAGCAAAAAGTAAACATTATAGCATGGCTTGAGTCTGGATAGTACAAAGAGCAATAGCTTTGCAACTGAACAGTGTCCATGTTAATTTCAGTGCTATATTAATTAATCCTTCTGACATCTAAATGAATTACTTCATGGTGATCAAAAGCATGAAAGAGAGCATGGGGTCTCCAACAGAGATAACACTTGGAATAGCATTTTATTCTAATATTAAGGAGATTGGCAACTCAGAAGCTCTTACCTCTTACTTATCTCAAAGATGGGGCCAGCTCTGAAGCAATCATGACCTACACAGACCTACACAGCCTCTAGAGTGACAAAGGGATGCCAAGAGAAACACACAGATCTACTCACCTTGATTAAGAATAAGAGCATTAAAGGCAAACTGAGGTCTGCAAACCTGGTGGAAACTTGCAGCTGTGTTGCAAAAACTACAGAACTGATTAACTTGGAGACAGAAGCAACCTCTCATTCTGGGCTTACAAAAACCAATGCAATTGGAAGCACACCTAATCCTTCTCCACCTCCACTCTCACCTGATCCATAAGGAAAAGCACTATCCTATCTTTTGTAGGTACATCTGAATCCCTCAGCTATTGCCTATGTCTCTAAATTGGTTCATCAATTCCAAAACATCATTTGTTTTTTACTGATCACTTGAGCTACAAAATCAGAGCAGAGGCTGTCCTCCACTGTGTATCTTTTCTCTTTCCTTCTTCTTTTAATAGGAACACTGTAGGATAATCTCTGGAATGGTTTAAACAAGACTTTAATCAGGATAGTCTTACGGAAGAAAAACTTACAAAAAATGAAGCAACAGAACAGGTTAGATTACGTGAGAAACCTGTCAGTGTAGATATAAAGAGCAGAGAAACCATGAGCAAGGAAACTGCCTATTTGTCTTCAACCAAACGAATCCAGTTTGTTCTATGACAACTTTCAGTGCAACCTGTGCTGCCATAGGATCCTGCAGAGGAAGCACAGATATCAAAATAATTTCAGCCCTGCATTGATTGAGAGACAAAGATGGGGAGAAAGTGTACACAGCTGCTAAAGAGCTCAGACTGTCCTGTTATCACCATCAGTACTGATATTATATATTAGCCAACAAAGCTGACTCATAGGATGCCTTGGGTTGGAAGGGACCTTAAAGACATTGTGGTTCCAAAAAATGTCTTTCTCCCTTTCCCTTTCTCCAAAATTGTTTGATGTATGAAAACTACAAAAGGTCTGAGAGCTCCATCTTCAACTGTACCTTCTCTAAGGAGGAGTTTTACAAACTTGCTCTGGCATCTGGAACACCTAACTACAGCTTGGAAGAGGTTATGCAGAGTACAGTGGAGTTCAAGGTTGCATACTAAATGCAATATATTACAACACCATCCAGCTTTGCACCATGAAGGTATTGCTGCCCTCTTGATGTTTCCATCCTATTCTGTTCTCCACACTGCAGACGACTCCAGAGTTTCAAACACCAGACAGTTGTCCTACCCATTCTGTGATTCTGCCAAAACAATGCCAGTCAACACTCACAAGTACAGCATAGAAGAATAGTTTTTGTAATCGATGCTGCAGTTGCATACTGAGTATTCTATAATCCATTACAAAATCTGTTGTCTCCAAAACATCGTAAGGAAATGCCCAAAGAATTCTTGCATTTTCCAGCATATCCTTATCTGCCAAACAGAGCAGTAATTATTTTCCGGTCTTATTGAATTCAGTTTTGTAAATGACCATTAAAAGGCTCAAATGCCACAGAATCTGCCTGAAATGACAGATTATTACAAGGTCACTAAACAGCTCATCGTGAACTTCCTGATATTTTATAAACTAGGCTGCCTTCACATATTGTGACACATGAATGATTGCAAAACTCCTTGCAACAAAGAACTTTTCAAGGCCTTTTGTCTTTAGTACTAGAAGTGCTTAGAGGGAGACAGAGTTCTCTGAAAAATATGAGGTTTCGTTTTTCACAATGATGAAGGTGAATCTTAAAGAGTTTTTGTTCTTACTGAAAAGCCTTTCAATATAAAGTGGAGCTGACTAGAATCTCCTGTAAGTGATCCCTGGATGAAGACATAACACATAATGCATTTCTTCTTAACCTTTACACCCTCAGCTCAATGCTTGTAAAATCCTTCCAAACTAAATCAGGAGAATGACACAAAATGTGTTTTCATGCATTCTTGATTGTACCATGAATGAAGAATTTCTGTCAAAAATCAGTATGTACAGTTGCAAGGATATTTGTGCATTAAAAGCATTTTCCATCTCAAACAAAGGAGAAATCACTCTCAAATTGAAAAGTCCTCTCTTTGTGTCATATTATCAGCTAATAATGGCTCAAAATGCTATGACTCACTAAAAAGTTATGCTTTTTCTTTTATAGTACTACCACTTCACCAAATCTGAATCATAATGTTTTCTGTCTTTAACATAGATAATAATATCCTGACATGCTGAAATGCCCCTTTAAAAAATGTCCTCTGTCACTATAAAAATAAATTTTTAAAAATTAAAAACTATACCTACGTGTTAATTGATACTTTCATCTTGGTCGGTTTTCAATTAATTTACAATACGGTTCTGTTTATCAGAGTGGGAGCTGAGCCAAGCCCTCTGTGCATCTGATGAGCCTCACAATAACCCCGAATGCACCTGTTAATTTTGCCTCTGGGTAAACAGTTGAAAACTCCTCAGCTATTTCCTCAAGTTGGGTGGAAACAAAGAAACATGAGATTAAAAAAAAAAAAAAGAAAGGGTTAGATTAGGGAATTGGAGATGCATTAATTTAAGAAAGGAACAGGGTCAAACTAGGGGCTAGGAGGCTAATAAGCACAGAGCACACAGCAAGAAAGCTCACAGCAGGGTAAGAGTTCACTTAATTTATTCAAGCGATCTATTCCAGACGCAGTAAATGATACATTATTGGATCCAGACCTGCAACTGCTTACTAAGACCAACCTCACTTAAGTGTCATTACCCTCCCCTTTAGAAATATTGCTATTACCCAAACCTGTTCACAGTGAGGGCTTTACTCAGCTGGCAATCCACTAACTTTTGTTCTTTATGATGCTCCCCCTAACTCCCCCTCTCTGCTGTGGGAATTAGGCATAACAACCACCATGCTAACCGCAGAACACCCAAGTTGATACAACTCTATGAGATTTTTAGTACTTTATTACACCGAAAACCAATCCTATGGATAGCAGACTATAAACAACAGCAAATGCTATATCAAGCAAGCAGTAAGTGGTTAAGGACTTAGAGGTTTACTAGGGGGTTTCAATCAATCAAAGTCTCCTTCATACAAATTAGAGAAAGCTGAAAAAGAAATCAGAGAAACACTTATCATGGAAAATTTTAAAGGAACTTCAATTTTATGCCTTTTCCTTTGAACAAAATAAACAAAGGGCAGATGGTTTTACTGTAAAAGATTGGCTTTTTCCCCCCCCTGCTGAATTATGATTAATGTGTTTACTAAGCCAGAACAAAAAGGAGCCCTTTTATGATGGCAAACTTTCCAGTAGCTGGCTATTGATATCCTTAAGAATATCATTTAATTAGGCGATCAGGTTACACAAGATTTCAGAACATATTAAAACTTTATTGTACAGACAGAAAGTGTAGGGACTGTGAAGCACATGGAGAGCATAAAACTTTTGCTTAGCAAGGACTTTCTTCAGTCCTTGGAAACTGGGCAAGGTCACAGGCTCAAGACTACTTTTAACTACCTGTCTTCCCACTCCAAAGACACAACCCACTCTTTTGGGTATGCTGGCACGGGATCTAAGATGAAATGTACCACAAGCTCCTGCAGCTCTTGCTCTGTGCTTGGGCACTCTCTGAAGTCAGACAGGAATTGATAAAGAGAAGATCACAACCTGCTCCTGCTTCAAGGAGGGAGAACACGGTGCATAAAGGGCTGCATTTATAGATTACACCACACATTTGCCTGCTCTTGCTTCTGTACTGAATGGCACAGAGGGCAGCTTCGATGAGATTTCACAGGGAGGTGAAGTTTCTCTGTTGCACACCTGCCTTAACTTGCACTTTCCACACGGAGTGGGCAGTAATGTTCTCATGCTGAAAGAGAAGGAAAGGCTAATCTGTCACAAAAAAGGTAACTGCTGCAAAACTTAAAAGTTCCTCCTGCCTTCCCCAGGCTAAAACTTAGCCCTTCCTCAGGCTAAGTAACACTTAGCTTGACACTAAACACAGAACAGCTGGAATAGTGGGGAGCTACTCAAGGTTTTGTTTGTTAAAAAGTTAATTGAGTGAAACTCATATATTCAGCCATTTGCTTCCCATGTTTGTTAATTTCCCACACTTAATAGCTTTTGCAAGGTCCTTTGCATTTCTCACAGGGAGCAGTCAGTTCTTTATCTCTGGAAATTAGCACCTCTGGAAAGAAAACAAAAGTAACAGGCAGCTCCACAGAAGCCTTTAGCTGTTAGAGAGTGTTATGTATCTTTCAGATTTGGTATCCATTTGCAGAACTGATTGCAAGGCCATTATAGTGTCAGCCAGTATGATACTTTATCTGCAGCAGAACACCAAGGGTGCTTCATAATGCTTTAAAGAAGATGGCCCAACTCTGGGATTGTCGGCTGTGACACTCTAGAAAAGATAATTCCCAAAGCAGGATTCATATCTGTAAAACAGATATGAATAAACCTAGAAACAAGTAGCCCTAGGACTTTCCTTTGCACACCTCTAGGAGATAGCATTAAAAATGGGAGTCCTGGTGGCAATTTGCTTTCCCATGCAGATCCAAATTGATTATATTCAAAGTATTGCCCATTACAAGCTTTTTAAAGGCTTCTGTAAAAGCCACAATAACATTCAGAACTGCCATTTCTAGATTTTTTGTTTGTTTAATTGTTACTTTTGATCTTTTAGCATTCAGATTTTCAGTATTTTCCTGGAAACTCAAGGGCGGCCAAACAAAAAGCTGAGATCTTGAAATAATCATTGAGCTCCAGGAGCTGAGGCTTAAAGAAAACATTAGATATTACAAGACTCACATTAAAATCATGAGAACTGGAAACGCTGTGTGAGGCTTTGGTTTCTCTTTACATAAAGTACTGAGAAAAACCAGCACGTAAAAAAAGGTGATTAGATCCACCAGTCAGATTTATAAACGTAAGGGGGCTTAGAATAACCAGAATATATTAGATTGATAAAGAGTATTTACTACATCTGATATATCTGCAATGTTAAAAAAAAATTAGAGTATCATATACATAGACCTAAAACTAAAGCCATTCATTTAAAATTCCCCCAAGTTTGTATGACTCACATACGGGGAATTTTTAATTTTAAATTATTTTTCCCTTCTGATATCAGTGCCAACTCTCCCTGACCCCTTAACACAATTAGCAATAGACAATGCCACCACTGTTTCCAGGGCAAGGACATAAGCTAGGAACAAGTAATAAAACAAAGCTGTTCGTGGCTCTACAGTTAAAGGTTATTTCAGCGTTTTCAAGATAGAAACTCTGTTCCAGAGGTCAGTAACTCTTCTGGAAAAGCTCACTCCACTGAGAAACCTGTCACAGAGGGTTCCTACCATAAGACACATCCCTTCATGTGCATGTATATCTGTGTTTGTATATATATATATATATATATATATATATATATACACATATATATATGTATATGTCGTGGGTAGCTACATAGAGACCATAATAATGGTTGCAGGATGCTCTCAGCTTCAAGTGGAGTTCTCTTTCCTCTCTTTTAACATTCAGACATAAATTCAGTGTGAATTGAAAATTGTAAGGTTCAGATCCAGGACTAGGACGGTTCACATCAATGTGACCCTATTTGATCAAAGAGTTCATACTATACACCTCTGCTTTTTGCCTCTCGTGATCTGGCTTTTTAAAATGCAACATTTATGGAATTTATCAAAATTTACAAACAGGGCTATGGAGATGAGCCAACACTACATTAAATTATTGACACGGGAATTCTGGGTTAGTATCTTTATCAATGACCTGGAGGAAGAGATGGGCTGCTCTCTCAGAAAATGCAGAGGTGACACAAACGTGGGGGAAACAGTTGATCCTCCTCTTGCCATTCAGAGGCATCTTGACAGGCAGGAGGAGCAGGCCAAGAGGAACCTTGTAAAATTCAAGCAGGTCAGATGCAAATGGAACAGATTAAGTGACTCTTGAAATACAGCATGGCCAGGTAGAAGCCCTGCTGAAACAGACCCCATGTCCTTGTGGCCAGTAGGCTGAACATGAGCCAGCTCTGTGCTCTGCCAGGGCTGGATGCTAACAGCAGCCAGGGCCATATCAAAAGTCCTACAGCCAGTAGATCAAAGGAAGCGATAATTCCCCTTTACTTAGCACTTGTTATATTGCATCTGGAATGCTATGTCCAGTTTTGGGTCCAAAAACACAAGAAAAATGTTGAAAAACTGGAGTGAGTCCAATGAAGTACTGCCAAGATGGTCAGCTGGAGCAGGGGGAAATTTTTGTGATGAGGTGATACAAGCAGCAGAACAGGTTAAACAAGGAGATTTCACAATCTCTGTACTTGAGGCTTTTAAGACCCATCTAAACAAAGTCCTCAGCGACCGGAGTTAAGTCAGTGCTGGCCCTGACCTGAGCTGGATTGGATTAAGGTCTGGTTGGATCTCTGGATGGATAAGGGCCTTCTGAGTTCCCTTTCAATTTAAATGATCCTCTAACTCCACTCTGAAGTACATTGGTGAGACTGGGATTTCACCATCCTGACCCAGATAATGGACAAATCCAGGCTGGGCATCTTTGGTTCATGAACACATTTTTCTCATTCTCCTTTCACCCTCCTCTGTAGGCTGGCTGATCATGCTCTCCAGTGAGCTGCAAGGTGGCAGACGAAGTGCTAGAGCTATCATGGCATGTCTGCCCCTGTGTTAACATACAGCTGTGACATGGAAACACTGCACTCAGTAGTGAAGGAAAGGTTATTTGTCATTACAACTTTCAACATCCCAGCTTGATCTCTCCTATTTTCCTCTACTGTCAACTAAATGAATCCTATCAAGTGCCTGATTTAGTGTTTTTAAATTACTTTGTGGATAATGATCTCTGTCTTTCCATCAACCAGGGAGGGAAAATAGATGGACAGAGGCACCTTACCAAATTAGGCTGGGTGCTGTGAATCATGTGCAAGTCTTTATCCTGGTTGTCCCACAAATCCGTGCTTACACAGGTAGCAGTTTCACACATGGCTGTGTGTCTCTCCTAGCTGCTCTCTCCAGTTAGGGATATATATTTCAGCCTTTTGAACTCTGAGAGCCCTGCAGGCAGCATTGGTACCCAGACAGTTTCACAAGGAAACTTTGGACTGGCATGAGGCAATGAGCAATGAGGTAAGAGGCACATTTGCCAGCAGAGCACCTGGCTGGTAGGAGTATTCAGCCTAGCACTTCTTGAGACTGAACCCCCTGATGCAACCATGGAATTACTCAGGTGTTTTACTGTGGCATGACCCGGCCTTGGTAGGCGACAGCCTTTGCCATTGAAGCTCACACAGCAGTAGTACATACTTAAAACAAAGGGTCTCGTAGAGATGAAAACAATACAGATGGAATTTTCTTCAAGAAGGATGTAAGAAAAAAGCTTGACTGTCATGACAGGCAATGGTTGCAGTACATCAGGTATGAAGACTCCTGTTGGCATCACAGACTGAGATTTGAAATGATGAAATAGTTTTGAGATTGTTTATAGTGGGCACCTCCCAAACTTGACCAGTAGCATGAGAAGAAAGAGAGAGATGCTTGTCTGAAAATTTAACAACTAGGTGCTGAACATGGGTGTCAGAAGTTGGCTGCAGGCAGGAATAAGCCAGTCAATAGTGGAGAGATGACAGGGTGAATATAAGACATGAAAGGTCCTTGAAGTGGAGACAAGTAACACTGATCTGATGAGAGAGAAGAAAGGAGCCAACTAAGACACGTGTGACACACTGAAAGCAGCAACTGAGGGAAATGATCTTCCCAGAAACATTCTGTGTAGATGTACACAATTTTATATCGTGTTCACTAAGCCCACAGAAAATGTTGCCATCTCATTTAAGACATGAAATTATTTCAGATTTAATGTGGATTGACAGAAATTAGTCTCTCCTAAAAACATGATGCACCAAGACTCAGCAAATGTAGCCTGAAACTGGTTCATCTGACTTTGTCTGCCTTTTTAGCCTTTTTAGAGACCTTCTTATGAGCTCATTCAAAGACTGGATAAAGAAGCCCACTTACTTAATGTGTGTCAGGCCACACCTGGAATACTGTGTTCAGTTTTGATCCCCACAATAAAAAAAAGCTGTGGACAGGCTGGGGAGGGTCCAGAGAAGGGCCATGAAGATGATCGAAGGCCTGGGTAGTCTGAGATGTGAGAAAAGGCTGAGAGAGAAATGGATTTGTACAGCCTTGAGGAAAAAAGAATTAGGAGCGACCTTACCACAATTTACAGGATGACTACCAAGATGGAGACTCCCTTTTTGCCGGGAGTCACAAGAAAAAGGCAAAAGGTAATGGGCACAAGTTACTCTTGGGGAGATTCTGATTGGACACAAGAGGGAAATTTTTCACAATGAGAACAATGAGCCATTGGAATAAACTCCCCAGGGAAGCGATGGATTCCCCAACGCTGGGCACTTTCAAGATTTCGCTGGACAGGGTGCTGGGCCACCTAGACATCGCTAAAGCAAGGAAATTTGCAACAGATGATCCTTGAGGTGTTTTCCAACTGGTTTTCCTGGCTTCTACAAAAATACATGGCTTTAGCAGCGTTCATCTCAGCTAGCAGAGATTAGGGAAGCAAAGATGAAAAAAACCCAAACCACAGTGAAGTTCAAATTGTTCATGCATTCCACACAATTAGAACAATTAGAAATGGTTAAATCATTAAGCTATTTGTTTATACCAAGTGGAATTAGGTAGTTGATAATTCTTACCACACACCTGAAATTTTACTTCATTTTTTCAGATGAATTAGTATTTGTCCTGCTTCCAACATTACAAAGGCTTTCTCTGAAAAGAATCTATAAGCCAAACATTCTATTCAAAACTTACTCCTACTTTAACTGAGGTCTAGGACTATATTTGTCTTTATTGGTACAGGATCAAGATGCACATATATGTTTTTTCTTACCATTCACATGGGATAGAACATAGAATAGAGATTCTTTTTAAGTAGGCACTTTTAGGAAATGACATCTCAATCCTCAGATCTGTGGTTTAACAGCCATTGTAAAACAAAGCCAAGGACTCTTACTTTGACAAACTGTGTATTTTTCATACAAACCAGTTCTGAATTGCAAACATAAATTACATGTGTATGTATACATATATACCCACTAAAATTCATAATTGCTATTCTAAGGCCTTTATAATTCTGGGGACTAAGATTTTCATGCAGCAGGTGTTTACCCTATTACAGGGTTTTGTTAATCTGAGGATGGACTGCAACCAAGTTCCTTAACAGGGGTGTGGATGGATTAACCCTGCTACTATTGCATCACTTAAGTGCTCAGCAGTTAGAATTACATGTTAGGTCTCCACGGAAGGTGAGGCCACAGGGTCTAACAAGGCACCCTCCCTTCTGCTCTGTAAAGTAGGTGAGAAGCTAAGAAAACAGGCATGAGTGTCCCACAGAGGGAGAGAGGTGAGAAGATTCCCTTGAAGACAGATGCAGTAGTAGCAGAAAGCCAGCCAGGGAATTTGTGAATAGTTTGGGACAAACTGGCAAGGAACTTTTCACCAGAAGGTGTTGCAGGACCTGTGGGGTGGTGGAAACACCTGGGGTGTGCCCTGAGCAATGCTTCCAAGGGGTGTTCTGCTCCCTCTTGGCCCCACACTGGTGCCTTGGGCAGAACTAGTTTCACTGGGGTGTGAATTCCACCCTCAGTGCCTGGTTATGGAAGTCACACTGATCCAGTAAAGAGAGAAGAGGTTCTCAAGGAGCTGCTGTGGTCTGAAGAATGAAGATCCTCTTAGCACTGCTTACCATGAGAAGCAGGGACATGGCAGGCTACTTACTGCATCACAGCATCAGAGGCAGGGCTTGGAAACAGCTTTGCAGGTTTAAATAGCCCTCAAACTCATCTGCAAGCCAGCCCAGGGTGATTTCATTTCCATCTAACAGAGGGGCAAAGGAATCTTGTGAAGAAGGGGGAAATATTAATTCGCAGTTCACATATGTATATTTTAAAATAATTTTTTCTTTGACATAGCAAAATAATAGTGTGAAAACAAAGCCTGGAACAGTGACTGCACGGTGAAAGGTGACAGTGAGGACCAGGACTCACCTGTACAGTGTGCCATGACTGTTCAGTATGGATGGGACCTGTCCTGGGAGAGCAGCACTGATGGAGGACTTTTTCTGCCAGTGCTACACAGAAGCACAACATGTGACGTAAGAGTCGGGCTCATTCCTGCACTTCCATAACACCACCAAATTCTAGCAATAATTGCAATATTTGGAGTCTTATGTTTTCGTACTATGCCTAATTCCAGGAGCAAGTACATGAGAATTTGTTTTCAAAGATAAATACATAATCATTGAGGTTTCGTATTTGCAGAAAAATGTCTGACAGCATTAATCCTAAAGGCTTATGAAACACCAAGAAGACCTTTAGCAATATTATTTTTTAAATCTCCTAATTTTTGTAGGCAATATAGAGATTTTTTTTTTTTAATTCAGACTCATAGCTTTGAAAATTTGAGTGTTTCTGGTTGCATAATAATTCTTTTCAGCCTGATTTCTTGTGTGCCTTTAAATATTTTTCAGTGTTATTTTGGCTGCCAGTCTGAGACACTAATGATTTAAAAAGAGTTTTGCTGGTAGTGAAAAAATCTTTAGTCAGCAGACAGATAACACACATGTAATGGACTTGCTGCTAACGTCAAAGTCATATACAACTGCCACTTTATCACATGCTGTTTATTTTTTAATATCTGTGCATAACTATAAAAGAACATATTTCTAAGCCAGTTCTGGGACTGCCATCCTTACTGAGACCATGGATTTGAATATCCCTGTTGAGTACAAAATGCAAAGCCAGATAAAATGCAGTTATAAAGCAATGTAAGCCCTTAAGCAATAATAAAAAACAAAGAAACGTACTTGAGATGTTACCCCTCATTTCTTGCAAAGCAAGCTCATATTTAAGTTCAGATGGACCAGGTTAACAATCACTATTTTTAATGTTAAAATGCCCTGGGGAAGTTATAAACTCACCAAATATGCTGCTAAATTTACTTTATATTGTGTGCAGCTGTATGGCTTCATACCAGTGACCAAACTTCCTAAATGGGCCAGTGAAGTAGAAGATGCTCTCCCTTCCCCCCTCACACCCTTACCCCCATCCCCCACAACAATGACTTACTTGTCAAAGGAATTTAATTTATTTCAGTAGTTTGTCAGGCTACTATTCAGTTCTGACTTTCCCTACCTCTCTTACCCTAGGTTTTTGCATCTGGTAAGGTCAGGATGAAGGAACAGATAAGGCAGGAGAAGTATTAAACATAAATGACACTTTTTCCCTTAGAGCAGTCATTGCTATGAAACATGAAGGTCAGATTTCAACTAACTTTAAATTCGCAATTACATTGCTAAATGTACTGCTTAATGTGGATTGATTTCATATTCACATTAGAAGCCATTCCCTAGAACCATCCAGCATAAACAATTCCACAAAAGTAGCTATCAAGCTAAACCTCACATTTTTCCTGTTTTATTTATTTATTTATTTTTTCTTTTTGATAGATCAATCCTATAAGCCTGCAACATTTCTTTCTTGCAGTAAATGTATTTTCCTGCAAATGCTTCTGTAGGCTGCATTGGAGGTCTTAAAGGAGGAGGTCTGGCTTGTGGATTTGGGTTTTGTGCAGTTAACAAGGAGGCTGTTATGAAAAGGAGCTTTGGCACGCCATGGCTCATTGGCAGTGATTAATTGACCGACATAGTTTCACATGATCCATTCTGACATCTAGACACAGACCTCACCTAGGAAATCGCCAAGTGGATATTGATACTGCATTGCCAAACAGCATCACAAACCCTTTAAGGCCATTTTAGGCTTTCCTGGCAGAAACTGGCTTCTCTTGAAGCTTCAGCTAGGATAAATGGCCATCAATGAAATAATTACTTAAAAATGGATCTCAGGCTGGATAATAAAAAAAAAAAAAAAATCCACGTGGTCAGAGCAATAAGGAAAGACTGTGTCAAGCTGAAACGTCGTTAAGGGAAACAGGCTCAGTAGAACAGACTGAATGCAAATTAGAAAGATAACTGCTATCAACAGTGCAGCCAGGGGAAAATGCCTTCCTCAGTATAGTTTGAAAATTGTTATGACTTTTGACCACTAAAAAAAAATTAATTATTGTTGTGGAGTTTTTTTTGGGGGGGTCCCGTCCTGTCCCCACCCCCCTTCCCCCAAATTCATGCATTTCCAAAGCTCCCAAGACACTTAGATAAATACAGACAACCAGCTTCTGGCTAGGTTCAAAAGAGATGCTTTTAAAATCGTTGGACAACTTCTGTACTTCATTAAAGCACAGAAGAAAATTTATTTTGTTACATTACAGTAGACCCATTTTTCACTGTAAAGAGATAGCTTACTTATTCAAGAAGAACCCTGATTAAAACCAGAGTTTTTTTTTAAAGTTCAACAAGTTTAAATATACTATTAGTGCTTGAACTTGATTTGATGGCTTTAAAAATCTTACCATAAGATACACATATTTGTTAAAAAGTTATTCTGTGTGTTTCATGTACAAGATTAATCATCTGCCCTGTCCTGTTGGTGACAAAATCCTCAGCATGCTGTTGGCAGGGAAGTGAAGGAGAGGGCAACATGAAGTCACAACAAGGCATCCTGTCACTAAATAAACACTGTTGTGGAATGACATCAGATGAAGGAATGATGAAACAAATGCAACTATTCCAAGTTTGCCTATGTGAAAACAAGTGGTAGGAACAGCTACCATAATGTTCAGTGCCTGGCCTTGAGGTAGGATCAGGCTTTCAGTCAGATTAGCCGAGGGCCACTAGCACAAAGAAGGTTTTTCTCAGATGTGCGCTGACTTGATAAGCAGTTTACAGGTAAATAAGGAGAGGAACATTTGCATCAGCATTGACAGTTTAGCTCAGGGCTGCTCTTAACCTCAAAGTTCAGTGTGTTGGTTCTTTACATTCCATGATGGGCTCTGTGAAGTATTTTGTACTTATTATTTATCTACTTATTTATTTTTTTACTTATAGGGTTAACAAAGCCTACATAGCAACAAACGAACCTCAGGTATTACAGAGAGAGGCATTTGGGAATACTGACCATCTTCCTTTGTTCTGAATTAAAACTGAATCAGCATCACTGGAAATGCTGATTTCCTACTTTCCTTGTTCCTACTCTTGCACTTTCCAGTGCTGTAGTCATAGAAAAATGTATTCCTATGGTCCAGAAACCATTTTTCGCCTAGAGTTATTGCTTAATGAAAGCCTACAGATAGAAAAAACTTATTTGCTTTAGAATACCTTTTATTTTAAAGAGCAATATTTCATGGAAATGTATCTGTTTCAGGATGGAATTTCTAGTGGGTGTGAGAAAGAGTTCAGCATCAAAATGAACACAAGTCCCAAAGCTCCTCTCCCCTCCCTTAAAATGAAAATGTTGTTCTCTGATTAGCCTTGACTCTGGTGGAGTTCTAATGGGATAACTGCATATTTTGAGAGCTGAAAACATATATGCCAGTCCCTCGAACTAGGTTTAAAGCACCTCCTAGAAGAAATGATAGAACTATCCCAAACTCTAGTCTTCATTATCATGAACTAAAAGCAAAACTCATATACAACACAAAAAATTATAGAAATCCTGTTTGTCTCAAATCAGAAACCAAGTACAAAAGAGGAGAACAGGCACATATTCAGCCATCCTATAAGCAGACTATGTCTATCACAGAAAATCTGAATCCACAAGCAGGCACTGAGGTCACTGGAACAGGAGCTTAAGGAGCCCAGACTCAGACAAAATATGAAGCTGAGGATTTACAGTTCCCTCTAAGGAGATTATTGGCTTTACTTCTAACATTATACCATTGCTATATTATACATACATTGAATGTTACCTCTGTGATGTGTAAAGGAAGGAGATTGATCTGGAGGAAGGAGATCAATATGGAATATAAACAATTATGAAAGAAGGCCAAACAATTAATCCAGTCTGTAAAGTTTGCAAAGCCAAAAATATCTCGTTTAATTTTATGATGTAAATTCTTCTTCAAATAAAAAAACATCCTGTCTTTTGCAACTGTTTGAACTTCACAATGATCAGAAATCAGACTAGAATTAGAAGACATTGGACAAAATTTAAGCAAGAAGGGCAATACTGCCCTTGAGCCAGTGAAATTCCTGTTGAGGGCTACTGTGCAGGCATATGATTGTGTGAGAACCCTGTGCTTAAGCAGTAGCTAATAAAAAAAAAGTTATTTATGGAAATTTCTTGCATGTTGTAAATAGCTCATGCATGTTGCAACTTGTTATAATTTGGGGATTTCACTGGCTATCCCCCAGCATATTCAGAGGCAGAGTGTGAAAAGCAGTGTGCAAAAGTTACAAGGTCCTTTAGTAAGTAATGGGGATTTTTTCAATTTTTCCAATGCACAACAAATAAATTGTCTCACTGTGGTAGTACTGGATGTAACAGGCAGTAATGAATTGCCTAGGCTGTTTCTGGTTAGGTGCTGTGCCCTTGCCTGTCTCCCTGGTGTTAGGCTGCCCCTGCATGTCACTGCTGAGGCAGAATGACACAGGGAGACCTGTGCCATTCTGGGGAGGATGGATCCTGACTTCTCTGCAATAAAAGTAACCATGAAATCCAGCCTACACAAAATAGACAAGTAGGCACAGAGGGCAGGAATGTACCAAGACTCTAGTATAAGAGATCTGTTTTGCAGAAGTTGTGTTCCCTAGGCTCAGCCAGACATAGGACAGGCTCCTTTTGCCATATACTTGCAGTTGTATGAACAGAGTGTAGCACAAGAGTATTTTTAAAAAGTATCTTTCTTTGCCTACCTCTTCCTAGAGGCAGAATTTCTCTACAAAGGATAAAAAATGTAATTACATTTGCAAATATTGAAACTATTTGACCCTAGACAAGATGCAGCAGAAACTTTTTTGTATACAGTAGACAATTTCCAACCAATTTCAGTAGGAGCTAGATCAGGACTTCACTGATGGGGAGGAAGACAGTGATGACAAGAGGAAAGAGTGGCAATCCTACAGAATACTCCTTCTCTATAAGTCATACCAGTGACAAGTGTTCCATCTGATGTCTGAAATGATGATCCTTTCATTAAACAAGGTCAGACTAATGTAACATTATTGGTATAACTTTCATATGTTAGAAAAAAGGAATTCCTACTACAGTGGCTTCTTTTGTATACAACAAATATAAGCAAAAAGTAATGGGAAGAGATGGACCAAACAATTTCAGTACAGACTTTAGAGACGCCTAACACTCCTTAAAGCTTAGTCAATGTTATCTGTGAAATCAAACACTGAATCGTTTGTTCAGCTTGAACCTAGTTACAACCAAATAACAACCAAAATGTTCTATCTTAAGTAGTTTTTAATATTTGTACAGAAGAATTATGATAGGTGCAGTTGCATTTATTTAGGAATTAACTGTTCCAAAAACTTAATCCAAAAGCATTTTTCTCCAGTTAGTTATAATAGCTTTTAATTTAAAATACCTATGTCAGTTTCTCCTGGTACTTAGTAAAAGTAGCTTACTGTGTGAATAGCAGAGTCCACTCACTACTTCTGCTTGTGTAACATTAGAAAAGCTCATCTGTTGAGGGTTCATGTCTAATGTGAATGTTTCTAACAGAAAAGTTGACCTGGAGAGATTTTGATAGAGTAGAATTTACCTACAGCAGAAATACAAGGACTGTTGTAGACAATAATATTAAGTCATAGATCATTACCTGCAATTTTAATGCTCTTGAGCAGAGAAGACTTTGCTATAGAAACTAGTGCAAAACATCTAAACCAATACCATCTGCAAGAAATAAAATTAATCAAGGTGATAGAGAAGATATTCAGAGTTCAGCAAAACAATGGAAGCATGCACACACAGATGGATAACAAAATAAAATGCACCTAGATGAACCCAGTTAAATAAAATAAATATCTATTCTTTGAATTAGATAAATCACAATGTAGTATTAACTTGAGAATGAGAATAGTGTAGATCCAAGGAATTACTACTTCACATAGTAGAAAGAAAAATGAGGAAACTCCAGTTTTAGACACTAAACTGAACAATTTCTATTTCTTATCTTTAGGTCTTGATAACCTTTGTTACCTTTATAGCTTTCAACTATGCCTACCTACAACCTGGAAAATGAATTAGAGTTGCCCATTAGTCATTTTCTGCTCTCTGAATGTTAAATCATACTTTTGTTTATTCTAACCTTCACATGAAAAACCACTGTTAAAAATGTACGGCCCAATGTTTTACTCTTAACAGGGAAAACGAAAAAAAGTGACAGGTAAAATTAAATGTTTCAGATGTTTTCTTTGGAAAGTTACATCTCAACTATTTTGTGGGGGAGGATAAATGAGGCGAGATCATTTTAACATACTACCTCAATAATATATGCAGAGTGCCTCAGGAAATGTAAGAACTGTTGGCCCTATGAATGAAAAATTAAGAGGAAGACAACTATTTATTTCATTAGTCATCTATATTTCTACTAAGAATCATTGAATAACCCGAAGGCTCCAGCTGGCTGAAGATTCCTTGTGATCTCAGAAATCAGGAATACTTAACCAATTTTTTTAAGATAACATTCACTTTATTTTTCACTCGAGACACAGTTGTATAAGTTCTCTGGAATTTTAGAATATGTTAAGATACATCTGAATTGCCATTATTTTTACTTGCAAATATACACAGCAGTTTTATGGACTAAACAACTGTATTCCACTTCCCAGTGTACACCTCTGTTTCCAGCACCCAACCATTTCTACCATGTATCTTTCAGAATAATTTAGGTAAATAATTTATTATTATTATTTTTTTAATAATTCCAATAACTGCTCATTTTGCACTCTCATTCTTTGGAGTACATTTATCACTATAAAATGCACTATCTTAAGCAAACACATCCACTTTTAAAATCTAATGGGCTCCTCGGCAATAGGAACTGTGACTGCAACCTCCAGTTACACAAACGGCTTCCATGAGGGAAAACACCTCGAACATTTGTTCATGTCTTTCATTTGGCACTTTATTCAAGAAATTATTGGTCAAAATACATTCACTTTTTCTAAATGTCAAAGGTGCAGACCGTGATAACTGGCTTTAAAATCAGATATTTCAAACAATCATTGCAGGCTTTCTTGTTTTTTCAGGAGTTATATTTAGGTCTGATATCACAGAAAAATGTTGCCATGACTCTTCCTTTTTTTTCTTTTTGTTACAATATGCTAGTCATAAAAAAACATCTAAATTAAGCCATATTTGGAGGAGTCTAACATTTTAATGAGACTTCAAAAGAAAAAAACCAACAAAACTTTCGGAGCTTTTAAGACACTAATAATGACTAAAAAATTGATTTGTAATAACCAAATCTTGTAAGAAAGATATGCTCCACCTGGAACTCAAAAAGCAAAATGAAATCATATTGCCACAGCGAACAAGCTTTGTCCTTACTTCTGTTTTTTAAAGATATGTTTATTCAAAAGTGTATTGAAAATAATATTTGAAAATAATTTAGGAATGAGTAAGTGTTGATTACTATGACACATATTCAGAATATGTTTTCAAAGTTATAAATAAAATTAAAGATGGATTATAGTATACCTACTTGTGCTGGGAATCATATAAATTTCTTTTTTAACAGCTATATTTACTTTTAACAGCTACAGAGAGCCTTAAGAAATCATGACCACGGTCAAGAGACACATGTGCATCCATAAATTTTCATGCACATTTCATGGCCATGAAACTTAGTACTAGGTGCCTTGTGTGAAAAAAATTAACATGGCTTCAGAGCAAGAAAGGAAAACATATCCAGTGTTGTATTACAAACAATAAGCTCAATATTCTGTGATGCACTTAGAATAAATCATAGAGATTTGCAAGAACTGGCCCTGCAAATCTCCATCAAGCACACTCACCCAGAGTCCCACTGAAGTTAC